CCCGTGCAATAAATTCCTCCTTAAATCATGCACATTTGTGAAGGTTTCCAGCACCCATCTCCTCAATGTTTGCTCTTGCCTACATTTAACCTCTTACCTTTATCATTCTGCCATATATATGACTGAGAGGTGGGGAGGCAACAAAGTCCAGTGAGCACTACAACAATTAGAGACAGTTAGCTGGGGTTTTCTTCCTGAACTTGATATGCCCAAGTGCTCACAAAATATACTGCACAACCCTCCCTTCCCACTCCACTGGTCTTAGACTAGTGGTTCTCAATCTTTTTTGTACCAAGACTCATTTGTAAACATCGATGGACAGCCCTGACCCAGTGCCCCTCACTCCAGACCCACTGCCCTCCACCGCCAGGCCCCAGCCCCCTAGCGTGCAGGGCAAGGGGGGTGCATGTGGGGCAGGAGGGAGGGGTGTGGGGCAGAGGGAGCCCCATTTAGCCCCTTGCAGGCTGGAACTCTGCCAGCCTGCAAGGGAAAAGGTAGTTTCCCATGTTTTTCTCCTTTAAAAGAAAATCCATTTTTAAAGTTTGTTGATCCATTTTTTAAGTTTGTTTGTGATCCTCTCTTATATTTTTTGACCCACTTTTGGGTCATGATCCATGGGTTGAGCAACGCTGCTCTAGACCAGTGGTTCTCAATCTTTTCAGACTTGAAGCACCCCTTGTTGGACTAGAGGCGGCCCTCTATAACCTTTGCGACTTGAGTGGCACCATGTTTAAAAAACTAACATATATTAAAGTACTAACTTCCTTGCAGATGAGCCAGGCAGTGGGTGTAGGAGATCAGCCAGATAGGAACAAACCTGAGTCTGCACTTCATCTCTTTATCTCCTCACACGTTGCTTATCTCCTCAGCCCTTGACTTACCCTCCCAAGGATCTAGTGGCACCTCGGGGTGACACATCTCCCTGGCTGAAGATCACTTCTCTAAACCTTTAGATCTCTGCAATATGCTAACATAAACCACAGACAGATGAAACACCACTGTGAAAAGGGTGTCCAGGGAATGTATTTTAGTGCAGCTGAATCCAATATAACAGTTTTGTCTGCTACTAACCCACAATAAGTGAAGCTGAGCAAGGGGTAAATTACTGCAGCTAATCTGCTGACATATGCTCCTTAGTAATAAGGACCCCTCCTTTTACACCAGCATAATTGTCTGCCTGTGCTCACAATCTTTAGCTTGTAAACCACTCAGATGAACTTGTGTGCTTTAGCCAAGTCCTCCATTTTCCTGCCTTACTAGTGTGCCTCATGCTTTGCCCAAGCACAAAATGCAGCCTACAGGCTCCAAAAGGAGGTCTGGAAATGGCTCCTTTGCAACAGCAGTGGGAAGATAAAGTTGATCAGCTACAAGATTTGATGGCTGACGGATTGAAACTGCAAGCAATTTCTATTCATCCATCAGATACACAAGCACAACAGAATCCTCCTAAAGCACTACATATCGCTTTGTTGTGTAATCCATTTATTCATGTAGGTATCATACGGGCCCATCTGAGCAATCTGATAGGATTTGGGGATCTGGGCCCATTAAGTTACATGTGTTGCTAACTCTGGTCAGTCGCATATCAGCTAATTCAGCTGCCTGCATTGCCAAGCAATGTTCTTTCCTTCCTAATTGCTCTGGATAAGTAAATAGTCAGAACATTCATGAGATTTTGGTCCAGTCACTAATTATTTCTGACAGAGCTTTTAGTATGTGCAGGAAAATGAGAGAGAGAAAACTGTGCATGTGATATGAAAACATGGTAAAGGACAGAATGAAAAAGAAAAGAAAATATTGAATAGTGGAGACTTTTTAGTCCTTTGCATGCTTCACCCTGGTTCATTCATATACTTAGCTCCTGTCTATACTTAAGGGTGATCCCGTGGCTGTATACATCAACTGAATGCATTGTGTATGCAAGTCCCATGAATTTATGTTCATATACCAGTTTGTTAGGCCATAAAGTACAGCAATGAGGCTTCTGGCAAGCTACCAGTATACCCTAAGTGCTGTGAAGTTTGGCCTCCAGCTTTAAGGATCAATACTGCCAACCTTTACTGTGGGGTAGGGCTCCTTACAGGAACAGGCCCTTTGAAGTCAGTGGGACTCCTTGTACTGCAGCCTGTTGGGAGCCTGCACAGAAAATATCCTTAAGCCTCATCTCCACATAAAGGTTGTATTGCTTCACCTAAAGCAGCACAACCCTCCTGCATGGGTGTATCAATATCAGTGCACATGTAAACACAAGCGACGTACCTTATTGCAGCACCAGAAGAGAAATAAAGTGGCATGCACTTGCAGTGGGCAGAGACAAGAGCAGGAGGGAGGCCGCTGTGGACTGGCAGGAGGTGCCCCCAGCCAGCCCAGCTCCCCACCCCGGCACAGAGGGAAATAAAATATAACGGTGCCTTTACTGCAGGCCATGCTGGGGTGCAAGCCTGAGACATTTCCTTGGGACTATTTTATTTTCATTAATATATTTTGTGTCCCAGGTCAAATCAGCAAAACCAGTTCCAAATCACATCTTTTTTTCTGTATAATTGGTATCTGAGGCCAAAGCATCCAGAACCACAAGTGGCCCTGCTACCGGCAAACATCCTGCACCCGCACCTGGGGCTTCAGAAGTGCCCAACACCTTTGGCGGCATCCTGCTTGCAGGCCCAAGCCCGGACCCTTGGGGCTGGGATGCCCTGAGTTTCGCTCGCCGGCAGCCGGAAGGCCCCAGGAGCGAGCAAGGGAAGAGACTCCCACTTCCATAAACTGGGCTGAAAGCCGCTGCACCAGGCCAGAAGAGCAGCTCCCCCAGGTCTACTTGAGGCAAACTCTCCCGGTGGAGGCAGATACAGGGCCCCTCCCCTGCCGGGTTACGACGCCGCTCGCATATGGACCGGGCAGCTTCCCCGGGACCAGCGCTCGCGGGAGACCGGGCCGACCAGGCGCCGCCGGCCTCGGCGGGAAGCAGCGAGCAGCCCACGGCCGC